TGTTGATAACTATGGTTGTTATATATGCATATGCGTGTATATGTGCTTACCAGGGTAGTTCTTATTTTGCTTTTATCTGATACTTTATTTGATCTTCATATAGTTCTCCAGAATTATTTCAACGCGTAGAACTGTAATTTTTCTAAAATTTAAGTTCGATCGAAGAACAAAAGTATTAACGTACCGAACTCCTTTGAAATTTCACATATAGAACTAAATGCATGATATTTCATCGATACTCTAATACTCATACTAAAACTATCAATTTGGCTAATCTATGCTTTCGTCCCTAAATTTTCTACCATACTGGAACTTTCCTCGTAAAGTATACCTATGTATTTGATTGATGTGATAGGAACACATTCTGTAACAGAATGATAAAGATAGGACTCACGAATTTTCTTTATTGGCTACAGATGTAACATCTATAAATCAAATCATTCATCACATGACAATTAAAATGTGCGAAATATATTGAGACCGAATGAAATAAAATGATAAACAATGATACAGAACTTTCATACAGATCAAGGATCAATGTGCTAACCATTAACGTAAGACGAAAGCCTTATGATGACGCATGTAATTTATTCTATTGTGATAGCATATGACATCAAAGTCCTAAAGATATAAATTTCTGAATCAAAGTCGAAAAGTGGTTCACTTGTTCACATCACCTATACAAAGTACTTAACACATCTCCATCCCCATGGTGCAGTAATGTATATGACCATGATTTACCCCCGATTTATTTCGTGGAGAACTGCCTGCTCAAAATGATGCTGGATCTTCGGCCTCTTTCTTCTAATATTCCATTGCACTTGTACGATTCCTGGAAATACATTTCCCGGATATATGACCACGTTTGGGCCCGCCGGCGGTCATATATGTGGACATTCCTTCATATCGCGTATGTTCGTCGAATCAGCAGATATGGAGTACGGATGCTGTCATTTCCCACTCCTAATCATTTCCCCTACTTTCCTGTCAAAAGTAAGGAAATATAACACACACTATGTATCTACACATGTAACACATACACGTACGTATCTACCAGCTCTGACTGTAATACAGTAATGCTCCGATAGTACATGTAATTAACCTTTTAGGTACACTATAGTGACTTCCGTGTATATCATGATTTTGGATGGTATTATACGTTTTTTTATTTTATTTCTTATTTATTTGGCCTAAACCACATTTCTCGTCGTACTGTAAAATCGTTAAAACCAAAAAAACAATTTTTTTTTTGCGAATTTATGTAGCGTGCAAAATAAAATGATATAAGGCGAAAAGTGCGGTACTTGCGTTTTTTCTGGGAGACATAATGGCGGACGGTTAATATTTTTATCTCCGTAATAGGTGCCGGATTACCCTAACCATTCTTTGGGGTTGTATAAAAACAATTTCACATAAAACTTTTTTTTATCAAGTTTCCACAGATTCGAAGGTATAGGACTCGACTATAATGGTTGTTACACATCATTTTTGGGCCCTGTACACGTTGACATTTCGGCCAATAAGAAAACTACACGTACCTCATTCTTTATCATTCTTTATGATTAGAGAAAGTGGATCTATCACATAATCAATCGAATTACGTTCCTTTCGTAAGGCATTTTCTGAGTAGAGTACAGTACATTACTACACAGAACAATTAAAGAGCGAATGGCTGTCGTGTTCTTCTTGTATCAACCTTTTTGTACTTTGTTCCTTGTACTTATGATTATGTAACACTTAGCGCGTGACTGAATGATGACTGAAACGTAAATGAAAAGCTACGTGTAATTGTTTTATCAATTTTCTTCGGTTTCACTATTCACTTCTAATTTTTCTACTACTCGTACAATACTTTTGAAAATTTCTTCTTGTTAATATCGATTCGAATGACAACATTCTAATACTGTCATTCTGCTCTGCACGTAATAAATGAAATCAACGTAAGAAATATCAAATAATTTATCCGTTAAACCCTCATTCTCGAGAGTAATGTATTTTTTAATTTCGTAATATGTCCTATTTTATTTTATTAACAAAATCGTAATGGAATTACAAGGAGTGTATTGTAATAATTACGTGTGTTCTAATAAAATAGATGTAAATAAAATAATCATAAAAAGAGATTGCAACTCAAACCTCACTTTTCAATGTAAAACATCAATGTTATTGCAGACGTGTAATTCCTTAGAAGTGAAGGGAACTTTTAGTTATGTCTTATTAACACTTTCACGAGTACAAAACTTTGTGCCAACAATATTGTGCAAACGATATGATACGTAGTAAGAAAAACATTCAAAAATTATATCAATAAAATAAAAATATAATTCAATGATACGTATCATATTTACAATATATTTATTGCAGATACGAACCATGTTGAGTTAGTGAGTTAGATGTAAAATTGTCTTAAGGCTGCCTTAAAACGCTTATTCGTGAAAGGGTTAAGTTAGTTTCTTTTTGCACAAGTACAGTACTGTCTACTTAAATGTACACCACTTAAGGTCTTTACGTGGTTATTTATCCGGAAAGGTGAATTTTCACAAATTGACTGCTATTATCTTATTTCAGTTCTTTTTACTATAAAACGTTTGTGCCTTGTAGAATTTATATCTAGATGCACTCTTCTCAAGAAATAGAAGTATACTGTGGATATTCATACATCAAAATAAACAACTTCTTGTTTATTCTGACGTATACTGTAGTGTTCGCTTAATTGTCACATAGTAGTGTCAGTTATCCGTGAAGGTAAGAGTTTCAAAAATTGTTTGCGATTCAGCTCGCATAAATGGATTGAAATGTGCGAAATGAGAATGAAAAATATTTACTTTGAGTGAAATCAAAGAAAGTAGTCGTAGTAATTTCAAAAATTAGTGGAAATAAGCCGGTGACAGTTAAGCGGGAAAATCGTGCGACAATTAATTGTTGTATTTTTTTTACAATTCATTACTTATTAATCTAAACTAGTTTGGATATGTAGTATAGTGCTTCATCTATTTCATATAGCGATATTATTCTCCTGTTAAAAACGGGTTAAGTGAGCAGCTACAGAAAGCGTTAGGGACCTAAAAATGACTCGTGGTCATTAACCGTTTGAGTGCCACGGGTCATTATTGTTTCCCAATCGATATTTGCCAAGCGGCGCGATAGCGCTTGTCATATTCCGTGTCCAAAAATGCCGAGCGGCGCGATAGCGCTTCTCATATTCCGCGTTCACCAACCGAGCGCGCTGATTGTCAGCTTCGCAGCTCAGAGCGCTGGCACTTTTGGACACAAAATAGAAGAAGCGCGATCGCGCCGCTTTGCACTCAAACGGTTAAGCGAATTAGTGACCAATTAAGCAGACAGTATTGTATTTAAAAGTAGAATTTGCTATAATGTCGATGCTACTTGTTCAATGATTCAGTTTGATTCATCTATTATTCCAAAAGATTTTTACATAGTTATAAATTTTTATAGTTTACAAATTGTCCCCCTTAATTGATTCAAGTTAGAGATAGTGGTGAAAATTAAGAATAATGGTGGAAAAATTGGTGTTTATGGATGTAATGATGAATGAAAATTTGGATGATTGTAGAAAATAGTGATTTTTAAAATTTTTCTCAGTTTTAATGACTTACGACACGAGAAAACTCGACAGTTGTACGTTGTTTATCCGAGAAAGGTGGCCTTTAACTTAACTATAGTTCAGGTTTTGAAACAAATTTTCGAGATTTTTTCACGTTATCCGATCGAGCTTAAAATTTATAGAAATTACTTGTTCTCGAATGGAGGTAATTTTGGTTGACGAGATAAAAGGATGTGTAACGAGACTTTTAACCATTTATTGTACAATTAAGAATCACCCTAGAGCTTAATAGAACTGTACCATTTTTCTTTAACATGATAATTGCTGAGAAATTAGCTTTTGCATGTGAAACATTTTATGTTGCATTGCTTTATACTTCTCAGAATAAAGACACTTTATTCATTATGATATATTTGCAAATTTTTTTTATAGGAAACATAATTTCTTCTGTGTCATCAATTTCTAAACTTCCATAACCCAGTCTAGACACAATCTGTGTTGTTTAAATGCATGTTATTTTATTTTAACCAGCAGTCATATGATATTGAATATATAATAATACAATACAATTTTAATTTACCTGATAATATTAAATTATTAAAGTTTTCTAGAAATTGCAATTCTGAGGTTTATTTTTATTTTCTTCCCAAATAGCATTTGCACTGATCAGTTTTCATTTGGATGCGCACCATATTTCCGTGTTCTAATTCCAAATTTTAAGCACATACAACAGTAGGTAACAAAATCATAAATTATTCATTTAACATATTTCATATATCAAACTATATGCTACTATTGTTATCACTATCATTTTTATTATCATTATCATTATCATTACCATTATCATCCTCCATGCTGTCATGGTGGCATTATCATTATTATGATGAACATTTTTGTTGTTTTTTTCTTTGTTAATATATAAAATGTTATTTTTACTGTATATGATGCGTTTTATTTTTGAATTTTATTCTATTCGAAATTTATGATATGTTTATGTATGACAATGAAGCAGTGTTTATGATATTAAAGAGAACCATGGCTACAGAAATCATCATTCGTCAGTAATAACAAAGTTAAGTAATAATAAATGAATCTGGAAAACTGAATACAAAGGAAGCTTTGGATAACTACATCGTTAGTAAAAATGTTAAAATATCGAACGATACAGGTTGAAAGTATAATACCAATAATGTAGTTTTAACCTTGAAAACTCACACGCGACATATGGCAGCATACAATATTCGTATGCGAACGATTCTCAGTGTAGACTGTTTTTGGTATTATGTTCATGTTAAATTTAAAGTGATTTAAGATATGTATACATATGCGCAAATATAAATGTGTATGTGTATAACTAATGGTGTCATCGCGTCTCTATCTCTATTTATAATTTTCCATCATTTGCGCGCTTTAATACGATTATTCTTCTAAATAGTTTCGTCGCAGGAGTTATCCTACGAGAACGTATTCCAGCATTTGAACGTATGCTTTGGCGTGCATGCCGTGGTAATGTATTCCTACGTCAAGCAGAAATTGAAACTCCCCTGGAAGATCCCTCAACGGTGAGCACAAATTTGAATATCATTTCAGAATCAACCATTTTGTGACATTTCGTTGGAAATAATTTATTAATAATTCAATTCTACCTTTTCAGGGGGATCAAGTCTACAAGTCTGTTTTTATCATATTTTTCCAAGGAGATCAATTGAAAACTCGAGTTAGAAAGATCTGTGAAGGATTCAGAGCGACTTTATATCCCTGTCCCGAAGCACCTGCTGATCGTCGTGAGATGGCTATGGGTGTTATGACTCGAATTGAAGATTTAAATACAGTTAGTTATTCCTCTCTTGTACAGTAAGATTGTAATAGTTGTATGGTTACATATGTACATACGATACAAAAAGAAGCAGTACGTGCATGAAGACTTCATGATTTCAACATTAGAACTACCAACGAACATTACAGTTATCATTTATGTATAATGTATTTAACTACTCGTTACAAGTTAAGTCTCCTATAACGCGATTAATTCGTATCGCGTTATATGGAAACCGTGTAAACCCCATTATGATAAACATAGTAATAAGACAAATCAGATTAATTTATACCGCGTTATATAGGAACCGCGCTATAAGAAACTCAGAAATAATACAAATTGAATGAATTCGTACCGCGTTATATAGGAACCGCGCTATAAGAAACTCAGAAATAATACAAATTGAATGAATTCGTACCGCGTTATATAGGAACCGCGCTATAAGAAACTCAGAAATAATACAAATTGAATGAATTCGTACCGCGTTATATAGGAACCGCGCTATAAGAAACTCAGAAATAATACAAATTGAATGAATTCGTACCGCGTTATATAGGAACCGCGCTATAAGAAACTCAGAAATAATACAAATTGAATGAATTCGTACCGCGTTATATAGAATCTTAGAAATAAATAAATTGTGTATAAGTCAGACCAATTAAAATATCAAGTTGCGATTGATACGGTTAATAAATAAAATTTTATAATAAAAATGGCAATGAATATGTAGATTTTTACATATTTGAATTTAGGTTTATCGAGTTTAATACGTAGTTCATATAATAAAATTATAAACTAAAATTTGTTTCCAACAAAAAAACTTAATTTGATATATATTAATGCCGCATCCTAATTTAAAATAGGATTTTAACATGTTAAAATTAAACGGTTTATTACTTCGTTTCTTTTGAGCGTCTATCAAAGCCTTTTGTAAAAATCTTTTCTATCATAAGTTCTCTTATCCATTAATGTTATTCCATTTCTTCTTATTTATGTCTGAAACAAATGATTTATTGTCAAACACTCTTATGAAAGCGCCTCAGTCTGATCAGAATTCAGACATTTTTATCATGTGGTTCATACATAAAAGATATCACAATTAGATTGTTTTATTATTCAGCATCACTGTTAAATATCTGCAGTCTAACCCTATCTTTTTCTAATAGGCCGAAAATCCTCCTCACTTTGCAAATTTTCTTCTTGGTTTTCAAATGTAGTTTTATTTAGTAGTATGGTGCCAAGCAATTTTGAAATTCTCTTTTAAATTTTGCACTGCGCATCGTTGAAAGATCATTTTGGGTTAATAAGCGCTGCCATAGATAAATTTTTCAAACTATTCGAGTTGTTGAAATGTTTTTGTACGAAAAACGCGTTATAGAACTGTCTCAATTTTCGCTTCGCGTTATACAGAAATCGCGTTATAAAAACACCGCGTTATAGGAGACTTGACTGTGCAGGGCGATAGTTCTAATGTTAGTAGTTACAATATTAATTCACAATAATTTTTCAAACAAAAAATCAAGATAAAGTTATCATGTAACCACTAATATAAAGGTAACTATTGATAAATAAGATAGATGAAATTTAATATCTTCATATAGAAAATTAATTGCATTCCTAAATTTTGGCATAAAAAAGGAATAGATATTTAATTTAAAAAATTCAGAGTCATCTTGACATTTCATATACATGGTGAGTTACGCAAATATATCACTTGTATTTTTTGGTACTCTATTTATTGTTAATTATTTTATTTCTCTTGATATCAATTAATTCTCTTTTCAAAAATTTTTCGTACAACAAATAGTTTACAAAAAAATTCAAGTGATACAATTGTTTGTTTGTTCAAGAAATGATAACATATGTGTTCCTGATAGCATGCTAATATTATACCATAAAATAAACTTAACATTGTATATTTTAGAAATCGTGTAGAATAAGTTTATATTTCATCATATGTGTGTTTTTGGTTTATATTGATATTACATTGATTAAATAGCTCTAATTATTTCCTGTAATTTAATTTAGGTACTTGGACAAACTCAGGATCATCGACATCGTGTTCTAGTAGCTGCTGCAAAAAATATCAAAAATTGGTTTGTGAAAGTTCGCAAAATCAAAGCTATTTATCATACGTTAAACTTATTCAATTTGGACGTTACGCAAAAGTGTTTAATTGCTGAATGTTGGGTTCCCGTATTAGACCTTGAAACAATACAACTAGCATTGCGTCGTGGAACTGTAATTATTTAAAATTTTCTTAAATATACAATCTAATTATTATTAATTAAGAGTTTTATAATAATATACCTTTTAGGAACGTAGTGGAAGTTCTGTGCCACCGATTTTAAATCGTATGGTAACTTTTGAAGATCCGCCTACTTATAATCGAACTAATAAGTTTACTAAAGGTTTCCAAGCCCTCATAGATGCATATGGAGTTGCTTCTTATAGAGAAATGAACCCATCGCCTTACACTATAATAACATTTCCATTTCTATTTGCTGTTATGTTTGGAGACACAGGACACGGGCTTATTATGTTTCTCTTTGGTGGATGGATGGTGTTAAAAGAAAAACCATTGGCTGCAAAAAAATCTGATAATGAAATTTGGAATATCTTTTTTGGTGGTCGATATATAATCTTTCTAATGGGTTTATTTTCAATGTATACTGGGCTCATATACAACGACGTATTTTCCAAATCATTGAATATTTTTGGATCATATTGGAGAATCGATTATAATTTTTCTACAATAGAAACGAATAAGGATTTGCAATTAAATCCTAGCGATAAAAATCAATATTTGCAAATACCGTATCCTATCGGAATGGATCCTGTATGGCAATTAGCAGAGAATAAAATCATCTTTTTAAACTCATATAAAATGAAAATATCTATAATTTTTGGAGTGATACATATGTTATTTGGTGTAATGATTGGATTATGGAACCATATGTATTTCAAAAGAAAGATTAACATAACTTGTGAATTTATTCCCCAAATTATTTTCCTAGTATTTCTTTTCCTTTATATGACACTGCTTATGTTTATTAAATGGATAAAATATGGGCCTATACCTGATAGTAAGTACATGCTAATGCAAACATATACTAGAATATAATGTATTAATATGTATGATACTTACTATTTTTTACCGAAACAGCCCCGAAAACCGGTCCAGGCTGTGCACCATCAGTATTAATTACATTTATTAATATGGTATTATTCAAACCTGGAACTGCACCAGAGAAATGTTCACCGTGGATGTATGATGGACAAAGTTGGTTCCAAGGACTTCTTGTTGTCATAGCTGTTCTTTGCATTCCATGGATGTTATTGGGAAAACCTATTATGATGATGTACAATAGGAAAAAACAACATTATCAGGTTGAATTTCAAATTTAATATAATTTTTAAAGTCGATATTTTATATATAATTTTACCATTTTACCATATTAGCCAAATAATGTTCAAAAATATTAACGCCATAAACAAATATTATTAAGCAGAATTTTAATGTGCTAAGGATTGAACTTCCAGTGTACCTTTACATTTTTATATAGATATGCTTAACCATTTTTCAAACGAAAGTTGTAAAATAATAAAAGAGATAGATTGTGCTGTTATTTATGATGACTTTAAAAAGTCCTATAGAGATTACAATTAATTTTCAAATATATATATATTCTTGTAACTAATGATGAAATATTTACAAAACACTATTTACTTATGCTTTTGTACAGTCTATACTCGAGATATGAACTTTCAAAATTAACATACTAGTGGTATTAGCATTAGTTGATACAGACCTAATTTATCTGGTATAAAAGGCTTTCAATCCAAACCAGTTATTAAACTATATAAAACTAAATACTTTACCAACTTTAATTATATGTATCAAAGAATTAAGAAGTGATATTATGTACACATTAGCAGCAGTGCTTAAATATGAATTTTTGTATTTAATTTTTTCTTTTTTCTAAATATTCCCACAGAATTTGCGAGCAATTTCGTAAATATAACTTCTTTTTGTTAATGAATATTTCAAATTATGAAATATTCTTTTATGCATATATCTTGAACATTTATCTCACCTTATGCATTAAAACTCTTTCTTACTATCATCATTAAATAGATATTATTATATTATTATTTTTTGTGATTGATATAAATGAATGAACCTTTAAATTTTTCATTCTGTATTTTTTCTTTTTTTTTTTGTTATATATCATTAGTTAAACAATCATGGTACAGAAAATGGAGATATAGAAGGTGCTGTTGATGGAATGCAACCTGTAAGTGGAATTCCTCAAGGAGGTCATAAAGAAGAAGAGGAAGATATGACTGAAGTATTTATTCATCAAGGCATTCATACCATTGAATATGTTCTTGGTAGTGTATCTCACACTGCTTCTTATCTACGTTTATGGGCTTTATCTCTGGCTCATGCCCGTAAGTTTAAAAGCTAATGTATTTATTGCTATGTAATTTATAGTAAATATATTGTACTGAATGTGTGTTATTGATTATATTTAGAATTATCGGAGGTATTGTGGAACATGGTAATGAGAAATGGATTAACTCAAGAAGGTTGGTCAGGTGGTATTATTCTATGGGCTGTGTTTGCATTTTGGTCTGTTCTAACTGTTGGTATCCTAGTCCTTATGGAAGGTTTATCAGCTTTCTTACATACACTTCGGCTTCATTGGTATGAATTATTACTATATTTAATACAGTTATTCGTTATTATATCTATATTATTGTATCTATTATTATTTTATGTTAATATCGAATAAGTTAATAATATATAGTATAATGTTATACCTCATAGATAATATAAAATACATGACATTTTTTAAGAGTAAAACAGTATTTCACTGGATAAAAGTTTCTTATTTTTTTATAGGGTTGAATTCCAAAGCAAATTTTATGCTGGCCAAGGATATGGTTTTCAACCATTTTCATTTGAAATTATTTTGGATGCAGCACAGTCCACTGCAGAAGATTAAAATATATCGCTTCACAATATGAAATTTCATCTACTACATATTCTATAAATAAACTTCTTGCTTTCCATAAGAGTAGAAAATATAAAATTAATAATATTATAATGTTTCAACAATAGAACTTTAACAAATTTATATAGTTATCATAAGTTAATATTATGTTTAAATAAATCAAATCTCATTTTAAGGTATCTTTAAAAAAGAAATTAAATTTTTTTAATAATCTTGTTTTAAAATTTATTCAATATACTACAATAGTAATTAAATTCATATTTCATTATATTTCCCCAATATAAAATTTAATATCGTTTTGAATGTTGTAATTATTTAAAAAAAAATTTTATTGTATGATACTGATGGAATTTACAAAAACATGAAAAATATAAGCTCTAACTGGATCTGAAGTATGTAGAAATGGCAATTATATAATTAAATGCATGTTGTATATTTAGCTATAACTATAATTATACACATATATGTTATAAATTATAACTTATATAATTTTATTATTGCATTCCTGTCTGTTACATAATAAAAAATGAATGATATAAAAGCGTCATCTTCAATTTATTTAAATACATATACATATACATTCATATAGATGTGTGTGTTCGAATGTGCGGAATATTAGCAAACTTACTATATTGTAAGCAACAAAACATAATAAAATTTATAAATCAAAATCTATTTAATATAATTTATTACTGGTTATATTTCGGCTTACGTTCTATTCGCTTTACTTAAATAGTACACTGAAATAAATACCGAAATACGATGAATTTGCTGTACTGAACTTTGCTAACGAAAATTTCAATGTCAGTCACCGGTAACTATAATTTCAGTGCATTTGTTAATAAGCCTGACAACCAAAACTTTTAAAAAATTTTTTGTTATCAATTCTGAAAATATAAGTTCCTCTGAATAATCGGATACAATTTTGTTTAAATTATTACTAGCAGAAGTACAACTTTTCACCATGATTTCTAACTTGTTAAATATATTCAATGATAGAGTTTCGATAATAATTTTTAAATTTTGTATCCATCGTATAGGTTTTTCTTTAAAATATTTATTTAACAAATGTATATTCGACTTATTTAGCACTATATTAACACAGTACCTAATCAAAATTTAAGTAAAATTACGTTAGTTTCTTGAGTAAAAATTAATCGATTTGAAACTATCCCAATTTTAATAAAAATTGATCTCTTTATAGACAATATAATAAAAATATATCTTTCTACTTAATCCTCTTGTATTTATATGGATAAAAATTCATTATAGGCGTGGATATATTTAAGTTATATTATTAAATCTATTAAAAAAATATAATGGAAAAAAAAGTTGTTAAAAATATTTGTATGTGTTATATTATATTCAACAAATACCCACAGTCAATAGAAAATTTTAAAAAAGTTTATAACTTTAAAATCTTTAAAAACGTGACGATGAAAAGCAAATTTTGTGATATGTATTTTTTTTTCAGATATTTATTTATATCATTAAATTTTAACACGAAGTAAACATCTGTAGGTATAAATTATTTTTAGTAAATATTTTTAGTAAATAATATTATTTTTGTTATTTATATCCCAAAACTCATTTTATAGTATATATCAATAAAAAATATAAATCATTAAAAAAAAAAATTTAATCTAGAAAAATAAAATATAATATATTATCTTTATCTTATTATTTGTATATATTTCACGTAATTAATTATTTTATAAATATAATTATAATCTTTACAGTCATTGTAATAATGCAGTATGTGGTTTATATACATATTATATATCTCAGTAAAATAACTACAAATTATGATAATTTGCATTATAATTAAATATACTTTATATTAAAAAGATTACTTATAATGGCTTAAATATTAATACTTTACAATAGCAAATCAATACAAAACACATCTAGGAAATCTCTTTTTTTTATCTCTTTATCTCTTTTTCTTCTTTATTACACATGCTATTGATGCATAATTAAGAATCAATTGAAATTAAATTAATAATAAATATCCGTTATCACATTTTGTATACAGATTTTTATGTTTTGATAAATAAAATTCCTTTCACGCAATTACATAATCTTTACCAAGTAATATCCAAGGATAGTATATAGTTTTTATCATATTGGACTTTGATTGGTCGACTAGCAAATCTTGCTTACAATAGTAACTGGCCGCCTATCACCGTTCGCTGGTGTTTCCATACTCCCACTTCTGCAAAAACTAGCACGTCTTTTCACGTTCGAATCGAAGTTGTTCCAGTCGCCCCCCTACTTTGATACTGGACGGTTCTTGTGTATTATTTCGCACTCATTTTTGTTTTGTAATTTTATAATTTTGTTACCAATATCAATCAAAATCATGGCAGGCAAGCAGCGTATTTGCATTATTGGATCAGGAAACTGGTATGTAATGTCGAAATCTTAACAACATTCTTATCTCTAGCTGCAAAAAATTTGCTTGTCATTGATTTAGTTAGTTGGATTTAAATGTTTCCACTGTAATTGATCTCCACGTGTTGTATATAAAGCCCGAGTAAAATAATATATACGCACTAAATTGATTGTATCATCGTTACAAATATCTTTCTATAATATTTATGTATATTAGCAAATGTTTTACTCGAAAAGTGAATTGTCAAATTCGAACATTTTAATTAAATTAGATTTTATTAGAATTTGCATAATATTCCTTTATAATGGAATTACATTAATATACGTATATGTATACAAATTATTGTTAAATTAATTTAATAAAAATGAAATAATAGAAATGAAAATAACAAATTGTAAATAATGATAAAAAATGAATAATTCTCGTTAAAGGAAATAAAATGATATTAATCATGTATTATTCATAAATGTAGTCTGATAAATAAATTAAAAAGTTATGCTAAGAAATAAATCCTTAATATATTTTTATTTATAATAAATTGTTTCAAAACACATTCATTTTTGAAACGTATAACATAAAGTACGAAGGCGTTAAACAAATGTTTCGTTGTCTAAAAATATACACAAATATTTATAGAAATACTTAAATTTTAAGTAAACAAATTATATAATTTTGTTGGTATATAATTTTTAGGGGTTCGGCTATCGCTAAGATAGTTGGAGCAAATGCCGCTAAACTTAATAACTTTGAAGATGAAGTTACAATGTATGTTTATGAAGAAATTATTAACGGAAAAAAGCTAACTGAAATTATTAACGAAACACACGAAAACGTAAAATATCTGCCAGGACATAAACTTCCGGAAAATGTGGTAAGTAAGTATGTACATATTTATGTATATACTTAGTGATAATTGGAAAAATTATTTTTTACATTAAAAGCTAAATTAAAAATGTTACACATACCTCAATGCTATGCATTTATTTATCTCGATACATTTTAATAAAAAATCTGAAAACATTAATACTTCTATACTTTTCAAACGTCACAAGTAATATAAGCTCATCTCTTTTCGTTTACCAAATGAAATTAAATAATTTTAATAACTATTTAATAAAGATGTAAAAGTTATGTGTGTAGATAAAGTCAATACTATGTCTTAAGTTGAATTTCTAATTCGATTTTCATTAAAATATTTTGAAATTCCTACAAATAATTTTTATCATTAATAATAATTTTTCTGTATATAATGTTATATAACTATTAAATTATGTACATGCTTTCTTTATCTTTTTACTAAGTAGCTTCTTTCAATTCGTTTGCTGTGTGAACACGTGTTTAAGGTATAATAGAATATATACTACATGTTGTGTAACCTTACTATTCTTACTGTTAAACGTTCGGAAACATAAACTAAGCTTATGTAACTTTCGTAACTCATAAGATTATGTGTATTACATATGCTTTTTTCGTTTACGTTAAAGTATTTATTAATTTTTTTTAATAACTTTATGAGATTTAAATAAAAGAGTTTATACTATGTTACCAAATTCTATGTAATTTTTAATTTCCGGTTTACCCGTGATTTATCATCACTTCGTTAATATAATCTATATTTCAAACTTAACTTCCGAAATACACGTTCCGGGATGTACGTTCGTCTTTTACATGTATATAACGTACCATACGTATATAGATTCTTAACTTTTAGCGTCAGTAGCTTTGGATAGAAAAACCTTGACCGCGACAAGTGAATTGAAGCTATATTGATTCGTGAGCGATATTTCTCTAGATGTAATAGGGTGATGTTCATCTAACGTATCTATTATGACATTATTTCTACATTAACATAATAAATTTAATGTTACCGAATATCAAACATTTTAAAACATTTAAAAAAAGAAATAAATTTTTAAATACAATACATCTGAAAATTGTTATTTTAAAAGCAATTAATGATAATAGAAAGTATACATTTATATGTTTATAGATATCTATTTTTTGGTACCTATCCAAAGTAATTTATCTCTTTAGAAATTAATTAGAATTAATTAGAATTAAAAAATTTTTAAATAAATAATTCTTTAATTTTTGTTATGACATCTTGAAATATTGAAAATACGTATTTCTTGCAAAAACCAATATGAAAAATTTATGATAATGACATAAGTGCTATATGTAATAATAATTCATTTTTGTTTATTTTGTTCATAAATTTCTCTGTTAGGCTTTTAATTTTGTAATCAATTTCTTTAGAGCTACTGTTACAAGTATTATTTATACAAAATATAATTTAAATAACCTCTCCATCTTATAAAAAAAAATTCAAATGAGGTTTTAAAAAATATATGACTTCTATACACTTCAAGCATAGCAAAGATACACAAACATTAATGATGTATATAATTTTAATGTTCTAGATTGCAGTCCCTGATGTAGTGAAAGCTGCTAAAGATGCAGATATTTTGATATTTGTAATACCACATCAATTTATAAATAAAATATGTGCTACACTACTTGGGAAAATTAAACCTACAGCTGTTGGCCTTTCTTTGGTAAAGGTATGATTTCAATTTAACATTTAATTTATATTCTTAAAATTTTAAATACAGAAATGTTATCAAATGTTAAGATATATTGTTATAATATTCATATATAAAAATATATAAATTTTAAATAATATTTTTTATATTTACAATTATGTTACAGGGCTTTGATAAAAAGGAAGGAGGTGGTATTGAACTTATTTCACATATAATTTCAAAACAACTTCATATACCTGTTTCTGTTTTAATGGGAGCAAATTTGGCTTCTGAAGTAGCAGAGGAAATGTTTTGTGAAACTACTATTGGTAAATATCATATTTATAAACCAAATATTATATATGTACTAACAGTTTTATGATTTATTTATACTATTCGTTCAAATAGTTTTGTTTAACAAACAAAAGACATTAACAAAAGTATCTGACATGATAGATATAGTATTATAAAATTAGAATACGTATTAAAGTATTATAACAATTGTGTTGTAGTCATAAATAAAACATAAACACAGGGAAATAAATAAAAAATATAACAAATAGTATTGTAGTGATAAACTAAAAGTAAAAAAAATGTATAGGTAGTATATATACACACATATATATATATATATACATATATACCATCTGATTTATTATCAAAACAATAGTATACACAGTGGGATTCAATATAGGATTTTCCTGTTACTAAATTTAATGCTTAATCCAGTGCTAAATACATGTACATACAAGTATACTGTTTTTGATTTAGCTTGAAACACATTGTAAATATATATTTAGTTTAGCTTTTCTAATATTACAAAAAACAAAGATAATTAGGAATTTTGATAATATCAAATATATATCCCATATAGAAAATCAATTAAAATATTATTCATTTATCGACATCGAAAAATTTTTGTTGTATATGATACAGAATTTATTCAAATATCTAAATTGTTCTATATAACCTCGAATAATATATTCCTTGCTTTACGATTAATATTTACACACATATATAAGAAATAACATTTTTATGTCTTGAATTATTAACAAACAGGTTATTTTAAATGTATTGCCATTATTTTTCCTGAATTCATATCTTATTTAAAAATAATACTTACTTGAAAAAATATAGTAATTTTGGATAAATAATCACAAAACGGGTTAATTTGTGAACACTTAAAACTAAAATAGCAGTCTTTTTACGACAAAAGAAATAACGAAATTTTATATTTTTTATTAATAATATTTTTATTTATCGACTTTTGAGGATCTTTCGATAAAAACGAATTAATACTAGAGGACATTTTGACTACATTTAGTTATGCAATATTGTCTCACACATTGCGACGAAGTTATTTCCGCCATTTCTTATTCTTAACAATGAGTCAACGAAGTACTAATGTATTATTAAACAAAAAAAATTTTTAAACATAAGAGGAATTTTTTATATGAATGTTTTCTACTTAACTGAAAAAATAAATCCCTTAAAGGGTTTTGATTACTTGTAGGTATCATGGAAAACAAAGTCAATACATGAAAAGTCGAGTATATCTAATATAATCTCTCTCTCTCTTTCTAATTCATTGTTAAAATGAAAGACGATAGAGAAGAATATCTGTTATTTAGTACCTATTTTGCATTACTCTTGCATCATATGTGGTACATGAATACAATTAATTCTAAATAAATTTTATTAAGACGTATATAAACTAAAATTAATTTAATAAAAAGGAAAATTTATTTATTAAAATGAATCGCGAAACGACACTGAAGTAAGCACTTTTGTACACGAAGACATAATGATTGCATATATTAACTAGGAAGTGAATATTTAAGTCAACTATTATGTCATCTTGTTGAATGTATTAGCGAGTATTATTCTGGTTTGAATAGTGAATCTGTCTGTAGGAATCTCTGAGTTAGAAAATTTCAATTGAATCTTACTCTATTTTATTTTCTTTAATTATTCGATCCTTAATGTTTAAAATCTATAGCTCTTACAAACATAGAGGAAAGATAATGGAAATCAGATAGTAATAATAATTTGCATGGCAATATGTAAGTGTAAATGTAAATTACTTTTTTTTTCTGAATATCATTTACTATTTTTCCTGTTGAAAAATTTATTTAAAATTTAAATTTATAAATAGTATATAATATGTTTGTAACATTGAAAATTTACTCCTGTAAGTTTTGTTATCATTGAAGTAAACATTGAGAGAAGATTGTAATTTTATTTTTAATTTTGATTTAAACAAAAGACATGTTAAAACTAAATTATTGATATTACAGTATTGGCCATTTCAAGTTAAAACAAATTAGTGAGACTGTCCCTATAAAATTTTAAGATAATATAATGTAATAACTTGTATGGAAACAAAATTTGTCAGTTTGAAAAAAAAAACAAATATTTTAATAGTATCTAATATTATGTAAATTTTCCAGTGTTTTAATATTTTATGAATATTGTAAGGACATTATGTTTTATTAATTAATGGTATAGAAAATGATAAATGAATCAAAACTGTATATATACATTAATAGTCTATTAAACACAGAAATATCATATAGATCAACAATGCTTAATTTTAATTATAAGTGTAAAAATATTTTCTTGTTAACCAAATGTTTTATATTCATTGTATTATTATTTTTTAATATATTATGAACAGTCTTTAATGTACATATTATTTGTGTATATAATAGCTTACTAATGGAAACAGTATTTATTAATGTTTATTAACAGTTATAATTAATACTATATAATTTTTATATATGAAGTTATATTAATGATACCAAAGGTTTCATAATAAATGCTTTTGTATGACAAGTAATAGATATCAAGTAAATGATTTCTGAATGAAATCATATGTGTGCACTTTTATATCTGAACGGATAGTATAAAGCTAGCTTTATATATGCATGCTTAAACACACAAAAATAGGATGGAGGATATAGAAAATGATTTGTTAATATATAATCAAATATTTTGCTAATACTAGAATTGACTTAATTATACATATTAATAATAACATTAACTAAATTAAAATCATTTTCTAGATAGATGCACTGTGTAGTTGTAAATATGTGTATAATATGAATTGTGAAATTTGTAACCATAAAAGCTTTAAGGACATATTTATTCACAGTACTACAAGATATTTTCTTTCTGTTTCTGTTTATGGTGAAATTAAACCACTGTCATTATTTTTCGTAAATGTTACATTGTTATCATTTAATATCTAGGTTGCAAGGACAAAAGTATGGCTCCTATACTAAGAGATTTAATACAAACTTCATACTTTAGAGTTGTAGTAGTTGAAGATGTTGATTCAGTTGAATGTTGTGGGGCATTAAAGGTAAATATATTATAATATTCTTTTTATCAAGTTTATTTTAAATAGAAAAATTATCATATATACAATGAATCAGAATTCTCATAAACTGATAATACCAGAATACAATGAGACTTATTCAACATGTATATAATTCTGTTATATATACAAAAAAAAGTTCAGGACAGACAGATTAAATCTTCCAATTTTTAAAACGTATATCACAAAAACTTTTAAAATACATTTGGATACATTTTTTAAATTGATAAATGAATAAATATCCATTACAAAACATAAATCATAATTAAATCAGCTGGTTGACTTAAAAAAATTTTAATGTTAATTATATAAATCTTGTTTCTAGACTATAGTATAAAGTGTGATATATATTGTATAATCATTCTATTAATAATTTTGTGAGAAGATATTGAATTAATTCAACATTGTATTTAGTTTATTCTAAAATGTATTTTTTAATATTACACTTTTTTTTAGATAATGGTTTTCTATCTAAGAAATTTTTTATTTTAACAAAAAAAAAAGTTTTGTTCTCTTGAACTCTTGAATCTATGTGTCATTAATGGAACTTTCTTTTATTCAATGTACTGTAATTAATGTTCTTTATTCTGATCTACCAATGTTTTTTTTTTTTTTTTTTTTTTTTTGACAAATTTTTTTTAAATGTTTCTTTTTTTTTTTTTTTTAAAAAATTTTTTTAAATTTTTTTTTTTTTTTTTTTTTTTTTCTGACAACATTCTTATAAATGATTCATTTTTTATTTTTTCTAATAATGTCTCCAAAAATGAATCATTATATTTTCAATGAAATTTCAATAGAATTTATAAATTTAATAACTGTTTTCAAATTTCAATATTTTCTAATTCATAAATTTTCATTAATGGATCATCTCTAGACATATGGTAAAACACTGGTAACTGTATAGATGATCCTAAAATAAAATCTTTAAAAAAATGTTCATTGCAAGTACTCTTATGAACACTTGTGAACATTTTACATGGTTAGTAAAGTACTTGGTTAAGAGCTGATTACTCCATTGAGATTCATTGTACATCGCATGCGTCAGTAGCTTATGCATTATGCTTCAATTAAATTACATAATCGTCTCGCTTCTTATCTGTATTGCATATGTCATTTTTCCACATTTTTGTTATTATCAAGTATTTCAGTCATCTCAAGTATTACGATATTACGTATGAGGCAATTATAATATAAGACTTTTAATTGTAGTACATGTATACAGAAAGAATTAACAAACATTCTATGCTTTAAAACAGCATTACTATTATTTACTCATTTTTTAAAATATTTTAGTACTTCTAATTGAATGGGAGATACGTAAATACAGTGAGTCACAAAAATATTTTAATTGCTGACTTTAGACGATTGTTATTTTGTTAATTAATACAACTTTTAAAATCTTTATCAACGAGAATATATATCGTGTTAAACCTTTACATCAGATAATCATCGCAATGTACATCGCATAATACTTTTATTATGGTAAATGTGACAAAAATTAATTGTATTAATTTTTATTTAAAAAATTTTTCTTAGTTTGCTATTTCAAATAGTTTTCTATATAGGCTGAATCATTTAACATGATCATTTCAATTATTTTAAACTATTCACTTATTAAAGAATCAGTGAAGAATTATTTTTTAAATGATAGTTTATAGAAGAATTTTCAAAATAATGATACTTGATTCTTGTTGAATTACCTATATTAATAAAAATAGTACAATTAACTTACTAATACCGAAAACTATCAAACTGATTACGTTAAAGAGTGAAAAAGAAGGATCAAAGATTTTAAGACCAAAGATTGATGATATTTACTGAAAGAAAAAAGAAAATGTTTAATTAGTATAGTTTTTACATTACTTTAATCGTAAAATTGTACAATTTTACGATAATTTATAAATATTCTATACCAGGAATAAGTTTTTTGTCAATACGGTGGGCATGAACAGAATAATTGAGATTTCCATTAAAAGAGGGGAAGACGTATCGAACATCTATTGTGACAAAGAAGATTTGTATCGTCTGTGAAATAATCCTTCTTAATATCTGCAGTAATCTTTTCCTAATAACCTTGAATTAATGTGCATTCTGAATTAATTCCACTGTTTATGTACAATGTGTTATAAAGAAACTTACTCGTGATATCGAATGTCTAACATAAGTCCATTTTATAAAGAAGAAATTAATTGTGAAACCTATGTGTATTAGTTTTTTACATTTAACAAACAAACCATTTCAAATAAAATAGTATGTCGTTGGGGTTAATTATTTTATTGAAAGTTAGTTCAGTTATATAAATATATAAATATATTTTTAACAAATTGTAGCTTGAAGTGAAAATTATATACATATATATTCTATGTATTCCTACCAGCAGAGAATCAAGTAAATATTCGATTAGTATACATCTGATTACAGATTAAAAATTCGATGCAACGTGTACAGAAATTAAAGTAAATTACCTGGATTAATGTCATAAATATATTCGTATCGTAGAAATTCGTCACGTGTGAAAATCAAAATATTTACCAATCTAATCTGTCACGTTCGATGTAATACATATTTTTATTGATAAGGATTTTTAAACTTATATAGTAAAACGGTAATAATTATTTGAAGTGGTCTATAGGAAGCATGTAAATACTTTTGTGCGTTACGGTACACATGTTAGATCGGTTAGATAGGTGACGAGGTACTTTTGGAGTACTACTAAATGAACTTTGTAATTAGTGTATAAAAAGATAATATTTGTAATTACCAATAGATCGTAAGAAGATTAATTAGAAAATATATCCATCTACGTTAAAATAGATAAAAAGTACGTACGTAAAAATATTTTTTTTTAATTTTTAATTATCGTTAAATAATAAAAATTGAATTTTTTTCTTTTTTTTAGAGAAACGTTGTATGAAATTTTTAATAATAAATATTATTAACGATTTAACCTTAATCGATTGAACGATAGTAGAATGAATTGTATGATAATCATTTAGTGGTTACTAAATATTCCTATACTTATCTGTTTATGACATTAATTTATTCGTTGGATCGGTAATTAATTTGATTACTATGACAAAAACAAAACTAGCATGCAATTTGCTTAACTTTTTTAGTTAAATCTTTTTGTAAAGATTTTACAAGTCAGTAATGTAATATTATTTTGATGGGTTATATTAAATATTTTTAAATTAATTGCGAGAGTATTTTTGCTTTCTTTTTTTGATAAAAGACATTTATCTTAAATCTTTTGGAATTTCATTTTCCTTTTTTTCTTTTATCCATTACTGACGATTTGTCAAAATTGATTCATTGAGATTGTATATCGACTTTTGAGTATCGATACTTCTCGAAAAATACATGACTTTTATGGTTTTGTATTACATAGTTAGTAAAATTGTAGCTTTCAACTGTTCTAACATTTTTCTAGCAATTTTAATAATCTTCTGTAGGGAGCCTTACCTGACCTCTACTTTTTAAATATTTTTTATATTTATATTTTACATTCTTTGTATTTATATCCTATATTTTTTTACATTTATGTTTTATACTTTTTATGTTTATGTTTATATTTTAAAATATTTTAAATTTTTTCTGTCAATTTACAAACATTACATTTTAGTGGTATTTTTCACGCATAAGTAAGCTTTTGATGAATCTAGTAGTTGGTCCAAATATTCCATTCAGTATTTTTAGAAGCAAGGAATTAGCTATATGTGATTTGTAAACGACAATAAGCCATAATTAATTTTCGTTTGCTGTGGAAATTGCTACGCGTATCTCAATGATAATTGATCATATCCGTGTCACAAATCTCATTATCAGTATTGACCTGCAATGACTAGCATAAATGATCAAGCTAAATTACAAGTAAACACTCCACCGATATTGTAAAATGAAAGAGTGACTCCTATCTGCTATCTTGATTTTTATACCAGCGTATACAGAGATATAAGATATGTATTCTAAAAAGGATCTTTACACCGTGTACATATGTATAAGATCATAAATACACATTCTATTTGATTTGGTTAATGAGATATAGTGACTCGCATAGTCGTTTTTATAGTTCTAGATGATTTTAAATCATTTTCTGATTTTTAATACTGTCGTATGCAGTTGTTGATATTTAAGGTCAAATATCTGATTACGTTTCTTAAAAAAATAACATGTCAAGAACATGTGAACAAATTTATGAATCACTGTGGCAAGTTACGTGTTTTGGGACTTGGTATCTAATCCCCATTCAACCTATTTTCCAAAAATAATTTTACAGAAATTAAAAATTAAAACTTAGTAATGTTTGAAGATCGAAAAACGCAATGAACTAGATCATTCCTTAAAATAGACTCCATATGTTATGGGATAGTCTGTATATGTAGAATATACCAATTCTCATTGCTACTGCTAACTATTCACTTTCTAAAGCTAAGTTCAAGTAAGATGTATTTTAACATTTTCAAACAGCAAAGAATTATAAAATCACTATAATCGTGTGGGGAGATTCTCTCTTATTAAAATTTCTGTTGTTTTTTCTTTTCAATGAAAAATGTATTAATTTATTTAATTAACATCATTATTATTTAGTCATTTGTATCATTAAGATATTTATACAGTCTTGAGAACTTGGTTTTTGATTTTTTGAATTCTTCATAAACATTTTATAAACCTAGTTTTGCAGAAAATATGTATTTGTATATATATTTTTCTGTTTAATGCTCGTACAAAACGCAGTAGCTAAGACAAAGCTGTTGAATTCGTAGCCTGCAGGTCACGTGCTATTTATTTTCCTATCACCTCACTACTCCCACTATATCCACTTAACTCTCATGCTGATGTTGAGAGGAACTACCGGAATGATGGTGGGATAGTGAACCAAGGACAAGGAGTAAATTTGTCGCCAGTCCTAAGTGGGAAACTACCAGACTAGTGGTAGGAGTAGTATCACAACGAATAAGTTCGTCAGCCCTAACCTAAGATGCACT